CTGCTACAGAGTGTCCTAAATGTGACCTTTGTGGGAAAACTTTTAAAAATAAATATACTTTAAAACGTCATCTACGAATTCACGCAGGAGAAAAACTATATTCTTGTGGAACATGTGGTAAAAGTTTTATTCAGCCTCAAACTTTAACTGTTCACATGAGAACCCACACAGGTGAGAAGCTGTTTACCTGTGGAACATGTGGCAAAGGTTTTAATAATCATAATAATTTGATTGTCCATATAAGATCCCACACAGGTGAGAAGCCTTTTTCTTGTCAAACATGTGGTAAATGTTTTACTATACGTAAAACTTTAACTATTCACATGAGAACCCACACAGGTGAGAAGCCCTTTTCTTGTCCAACATGTGGTAAATGTTTTACTGTACGTAATACTTTAACTCTTCACATGAGAACCCACACAGGTGAGAAGCCCTTTTCTTGTCAAACATGTGGTAAATGTTTTACTCAGCGTCACACTTTAACTCTTCACATGAGAACCCACACTGGTGAGATGCTATATACCTGTGGAACATGTGGTAAATGTTTTAACAATCATAGTAATTTTGTTGTCCACATGAGAACCCACACAGGTGAGAAGCCGTTTTCTTGTCAAACATGTGGTAAATGTTTTACTAAGCGTCAACCTTTAACTCTTCACATGAGAACCCACACAGGTGAGAAGCCGTATACCTGTGGAACATGTGGTAAAGGTTTTACTCAGAGTCACAGTTTAACTATTCACATGAGAATCCACACTGGTGAGAAGCCGTATACCTGTGGAACATGTGGTAAAGGTTTTACTAAGAGTCACCCTTTAACTATTCACATGAGAACTCACACAGGTGAGAAGCCATATATTTGTGGAACATGTGGTAAAGGTTTTACTGATCAGAGTAATTTGATTGTCCACATGAGAACCCACACTGTCGAGAACCATTTTCTTGAAGAACATCTGGTAAATGTTTCAAAGTAAATGGTAAATGGTAAATGGAGCTTACTTCTATAGCGCCTTCCAGCCCCCTATGAGGGGCCCCAAGGCGCTTTACAGTACCAGCCATCCACCCATTCACACGCACATTCATACACCGGTGGCGGTAGGCTGCCATGCAAGGCGCCATCCAGTCCCACCGGGAGCAACTCGGGGTTAAGTGTCTTGCCCAGGGACACAACGGCACATGGTGTGGGAAGTCGGGATTCGAACCTCCAACCTTCCGATCAGAGGTCGGCTGCCACTACCACTGCACCACGGCCGCCCACGGTAAACAAACGTTCACAGGAACACCGACCTGATTCAGAACCTGTAGCTGTGGGGAAGTCTTGTTGATACACGTCAGTTTGAACTAGATCAACCCATGGATGTTTGAAATACTCCTGACAAAGAGTCTGATCAGACCCCACCCCCCAAACCAGCCAACCTTTAGAGGAATCAGAACCAGATTAAATTTAGTAGAAAAGA